GCCTGCCCATAACTCCAAAACCCCGCCCTCGATATTGTGGGCCATTCCGCATCAGCCACATGATCACACCTGTCACCGCCCACCTCCTCCTCCCTGCTGACTGGTACGTCAGTCCGTCGTTCCACATCAGCTTACTCCGCCCATACATCCCATCCACCAGCCAACTGCCTCGCAACCAGGGCCTCAGATTCGTTTTGGCCTAGGCTGAAAAATCAGAGTTGGTACAAAACGATTTGCTGAAAATCAGACAAATCAGCCATTTTTTGCCATTTTACACTACAAATCTATTAAAATCTCCTGTTTCATTTCAACAAATCGCTGAAAAAGCAGCCTTAGTTCTGAGAAAGGTCTGAAATCTCGGCCTTTTTTATCAGAATCAGCTTTTTTTCGCTAACATCTGGGCCCTGCTCGCAACTGTCCAACCAGCTTGACACGACCGCCAACAGAGCCAATCATCACACCCGAAACGGAGCCACCGAATACGTGACCCACGTGGAGCCCGCAGGTTTGAATTTCTGATCCGTTGGAAAGACCGTACACCGACTGAAGACAACTGGGTGCCCATGGATAGAATCGAAAACCACCCCGTCCTTAGCGACTACCTGCGCAGCCGAAACTTCCAAGATGTACACGCACTTTTGTAAGGAGTGCCTCCTTGGGGAGGGGGGCAGTGTAAGGAAAATTCATTTTCCTTACTTCGCGCCCCTGCTTACCGCGTACACGACTGTTCCCCCCAATTTCTCGCGTTACCGTTACCATGCTAGCTTCGCTATATAATTTTCGCTCATGCCGCTCAATGTATTGTTGTGCTTAGATAGTGCAATTCTCGCTCGCACTCAATTGCACTCCCAACAAGGCCAGTGTGCCCTCCCACAAGGCCAGTTGTCCAACAGAGCCAGTTTTGGGGGCCTCCAACAGTGCTGCCAAATGTACCTACTGTTCAAGGTGGCGCCATCCGATCTTAGGTCCACCTTAGGTTTCCCACGTGGCGCCCACCACGCCTCACATCACAGTTGATCGTTACGCCAGATCGCCACTGAGAGGAACAAAAGTCGTGGGATCTACTAGTAACGAGGCGCCTTAGAGGATTTTGTTTCCCATGGCATTGTCGCATGTCGTGCAGCTAGCCAGCGTTGACTATTGAGTTCACTCAATTTGATTTTCATGGCGTCGACCTTTCATGTCCCGCCACTGGAAACAGCCATAGGGCTCCTCAAGTCGCATGATCGTAGATAAACCCGTCTAACGTGCCTGTACTTGCTTCGTACTGATCAGACCGTCCGATTCAACCGACCGCCGGCTCCGCGGCAATGGCCGTCACGACTTGACTCGATTCACACAAGTTCTGTGTATCGCCAGCTGCCTAGGCTAGCAGTACGATAAAAGGTGGGTCATTCAATCATAAGATGCCAAAGCATTGCAAGTTTGTCTAGCCACTCGCTTCGAAGACAGCTTCTCTTCCGAGTTTCTCCGCAGTGATCATGGCCCGTCGACTGTGCCTGCTGCTGCTGCTGCTGCTGCTGCTGTTGGCAGGTACGCCGCCTTCTAAGAAGTCGTCCCGTCCCATGCCAAGGGTGCTGCTGCTGTTGAACATTTCAGTTCTTCCAAGTCGTGAAAACCCTAGTAGGCAAAGACGAGACAGCGTGTTCCAGTCCTTTTTTTTTTTAGCCAGTTTTTTAAATCAACCTAGTCACTTTGCTTGGAGCTCTTTTTCCTGTAGCGTGTTCCACCTGCTTTGTGATATCCTGTACTGTGCCGTGCCGTGCCTTGCCTTGCCGTGCTGTCACACTCTGCTGTGGCGCGGCGTACGATGCGGCGAACCTGTGCTGATGTGTGCTGAGACCCTGTCACTCGGGCTCATGATGTGCAGGCTGCTCGTTCGAGTTGGACCTTCCGGCCGCAACCCGCCCTGCAGTTGCGGTAACTGGGCGCGCAAGCACCTTCCCCCTTCCCCCCTGGTCATTATTTTATTTCCGCTTGACCATTCCCCTTAGCTAACGGGGTTCGTCCTGCCGCGTTTAATAGATCTCAATTTGCTGCATCACGTGTGGTAGCTTTGCTGACGCAGAGTTAGCGTCTCACTGCCAGAGCTATAGCGTCTCACTGCCAGAGCTATAGCGTCTCACTGCCAGAGCTATAGCGTCTCACTGCCAGAGCTATAGCGTCTCACTGCCAGAGCTATAGCGTCTCACTGCCAGAGCTATAGCGTCTCACTGCCAGAGCTATAGCGTCTCACTGCCAGAGCTATAGCGTCTCACTGCCAGAGCTATAGCGTCTCACTGCCAGAGCTATAGCGTCTCACTGCCAGAGCTATAGCGTCTCACTGCCAGAGCTATAGCGTATCACTGCCAGAGCTATAGCGTCTCACTGCCAGAGCTATAGCGTCTCACTGCCAGAGCTATCATCGCAATTGTTGGCTTCGCTGATAACTTGTTGAAAACGAGCTACCTGCAACTTCCGGGTTCCGCATGTTGCGCATAACTCCTTTTTCAGTCGCGACATTTCTAGGGTTTCAAGTTTCGTTCCCATGGCAAGTTTCGAGAGAGCTGAACTCCTCACTTCGGCAACTTCCGTAGGTTGGGAAAGTTGCTCCCGTAGCGGCTCGAGGGGAGGTACTTTTGTTCGGGTTATAAGGGACCTCGACACTGTACGTACAGTGAAATTTATGTTCAGAGTGGTTACGAAATCAAGGTCTCCAAAGTTTCTGTACATGATAATGTCACTTCGTTACTGTGTATGGATGGCTCATCAACATTGTTCATCCTTCAGGATGTTCCGCACAACCTATCGAAACACATTTCTAATTCGTTACAGCACTCAGCCAAACGGTGTATGGATGTCATTCGTCAGGACTCCGAACATGTCAGAATGTTCTGAATGGTGGGCGATTTTGTGTGTTTTGGCGCGAAATACAAAACTGAACTTGGAGGTGGATGATTGTGTGTTCCTTCCACTGCAGCATGACCCCTTCAAGCGTGCAGAGTCACTTTACTCCCTCACAAGTAATTCATCCTGCAGATGTGAGAAACGCGGTTCGTAGTTACGTTGCCTATTATCCTTCACATCACTCTTCCTACACAAAATAGTTGGCTCTACAGTTTCTCCCATCATCATATCAGCGAGATTCGGAGCACCAGTTCAATGATAGGCGCGTAGAAATGGTTTATTCGTATGAAAACGTGCGTTAGCACAAGCAGATGCTTTAGCGAAGCTGCCGGTGCATGTGCGCAAGCCTCGCTGGGACGAAGAAGTCGCAGGCGCGCGCAGCGGCATTCGTCGCAGCAGCAGGTGCACGCTAGAAGCTTCTGAGCGTGCAGGCGCGCGCAGCAGCATTCGCGGCAGCAGCAAGAAACTTATGAGCGCGCAAGCAGCAGCAGATCGCAGCAGCAGGTGCGTTTGGAGCGTCGGCAGTGGCATGTGCGCGTGCAGCAGCGCGTGGCAGCTGGTGCGTTCGCACACATTAGCAGCAGCAGGATCGTTTGCATGATTGACAGCAGCAGGTGCATTCGCAGCATCGACAGCCGCAGCAGCGCGCAGCAGCAGGTGCGTTCGGCGCAGCGGCAGCGGCTTGTGCGCGTGATTCAGCGGAACGCGGAAGGAGCAGCAGCGCGCATCAGCAGGTGGCGTGCGGAGCAGCGGCAGCGGCATGTGCGCGAGATTCTGCGGAGCGCGCTAGCAGCAGCAGCGCACAGCAGCAGCTGCATTCGCAGCATCGGCTGCAGCAGCAGTGCGCAGCAGCAGGTGCGTTCAGCGCAGCGGCAGCGGCATGTGCGCGCGAATCAGCGAAACGCGGAAGCAGCAGCAGCCCGCATCAGCAGGTGGCGTGTGGAGCAGCGGCAGCGGCATGTGAGCGAGATTCTGCGGAGCGCGCTAGCAGCAGCAGCACACAGCAGCAGGGTCGATCGGCGCAGCAGCATCGGCATGTGCGCGTGAATCACTGGAGCGCGCGAGCAGCAGCAAAGCGCAGCAGGAGGTGCGTTCGGAGCAGCGGCAGTAGCAGCAGCGCGCAGAAGCAGTGGCGTTAGGCGCAGCGGCAGTAGCAGCGCACAGCAGTAGCGGCGTTAGGCGCGCTAGCAACAGCGGCGCGCAGCAGCAGGATTGCATCAGCAGGTGCATTCGCAGCATCAGCAGCAGCAACACCCAGCAGTAGAGGCGTTAGGTGCAGCGGCAGCGGGATGTGCGCGTAAATCACCGGAGCGCGTTTGCGGCAGCGGCGCGCAGCAGCTGGGATCGCATCAGCAGGTGCAGCAACGCGCAGCATTAGGGGCGTTAGGAGCAGCGGTAGGTAGTAGCAGGTGCTTCAGAAGCCTTTCAGGCCCAGCGTAATCAGCAGCGCATAGCAGCAGCAGATGCGTTCGGTGCATCGGCATCAGCAGCGCATAGCAGCAGCAGGGGCATCGGCATGTACTTGTGTTGCATCGGGCGCACATTAGCAGCATGTGCGTTTGGCTTGTGCACGTGAAGCATCGGAGCACGTTAGCAGCACGTTGCAAGAACAGCATGATCAGTGCTGTTTGAAAGGCTAACAGCAGCAGGAGCTTTCGCAGCATTGGCAGTTGCGGCAAGTGCGCAAGGGCGGAAGTAGCAGCAGCATGAGTTCGCAGCAGCAGGCGCGTCCGCATCAGCAAAGCGGTCGCAGCAGGCCGCAATGGCGCGGTGCAGCAGGTAACTTCGCAGCGCCAGGTTTAGCGGCATCACGCAGCAGCAACAGGGATCAACCAAGCCTGCAGTTTGAGTGCGATCAGGATGGCTGTGATGCAAAATTTGCCTCTCAGCGAGAGAAAGCGTGGCACATGAGCAGGGGCCAGCATACGTTTCACGGCATTCAGGGTAGAGCAGCAGCTGGGGCTAGCACGGCGGGCATGGCTATTAACATGCGCAGCTTTGTGGCCGCAGGTCAAGCTCTTGAGTGCAGAAGCCGAAAACGCAAGATTGTCACTCCATGCGAACTGAGGGAACGATTAGAGCCAGAAACCGATGCCGCGATCCCCAACGCAGACATGACGGGCTATGACCTTTCCCCTGCAGGCAACCCCTCTTTAATTGACATGGATGGTAGGTTTTACAAGTTCTGTAGGACAGCTGCAGGTGGTGCAGGTTTGTCACGAGCTGACATCAAAGAACTGATTCAGATTTTGATAGAGGCCCTTGAGCATCCAGGAAGTGTTAACCTTAGGAGTCTAGGGGATTTTGATAGGTTCGAGGAGAAGCAAACTGCGGAGGCCCAGTTGGAGGGCTTTCAAACCACAAGCCTTGGGAAGCCAGGTGACCTGAAGCCTGTAGTTCTGTATTGGCGCTCAAGCATGTCATGTGTACGAGGGCTGTACCAGAACCGGGCCAATGCCGAGGGATTCGTAGTTCGAGCTCTCAGGTTCGGGAAAAAGCAGAGGAGGATTTGCAAGGGTCCTGAAACTGGTACCTGGTGGGCAGAGGTAGAAGATGCGCTGCCCTTGAATGCTCATGTTGCCGCTGTTATCCTTTACTCTGATCACACAACTTTGACTACTGATGGCGGGGTGACCGGGTGGCCTGTATACACATCGCTCGCTAACATCTCTTCCTCAAACAGATGGAAATCTCACGGCCGCCGTCTGGTCGCTCTCCTTCCTGTTATTGACGATCTGACCCTTCAAAGGGGCTGACGACACGCGCAGGCGGAATGAAGTGTACCACGATGCACTGCGCATGATCTTGGAGGAACAAATTAACGTTCTAAGCAAGTGAGTGGTTCAGAGTGACCCTTTTGCATGGTAAAGGACGAGAATGTTGTTTCATCCCTGCCCTCCTCCCTGACCTCCTCTCTACCATCATCCCTGCTCTCCTCTCTACCATCATCCCTGCCATCCTCTCTACCATCATCCCTGCCATCATCTCTACCATCATCCCTGCCATCCTCTCTACCATCATCCCTGCCATCCTCTCTACCATCATCCCTGCCATCCTCTCTACCATCATCCCTGCCCTCCTCTCTACCATCATCCCTGCCATCCTCTCTACCATCATCCCTGCCATCCTCTCTACCATCATCCCTGCCATCCTCTCTACCATCATCCCTGCCATCCTCTCTACCATCATCCCTGCCCTCCTCTCTACCATCATCCCTGCCATCCTCTCTACCATCATCCCTGCCATCCTCTCTACCATCATCCCTGCCATCCTCTCTACCATCATCCCTGCCATCCTCTCTACCATCATCCCTGCCCTCCTCTCTACCATCATCCCTGCCATCCTCTCTACCATCATCCCTGCCATCCTCTCTACCATCCTCTCTACCATCATCCCTGCCATCCTCTCTACCATCATCCCTGCTCTCCTCTCTACCATCCTCCCTGCCATCCTCTCTACCATCATCCCTGCTCTCCTCTCTACCATCATCCCTGCCATCATCTCTACCATCATCCCTGCCATCCTCTCTACCATCATCCCTGCCATCCTCTCTACCATCATCCCTGCCATCCTCTCTACCATCATCCCTGCCATCCTCTCTACCATCATCCCTGCCATCCTCTCTACCATCATCCCTGCCATCCTCTCTACCATCATCCCTGCCATCCTCTCTACCATCATCCCTGCCATCCTCTCTACCATCATCCCTGCCATCCTCTCTACCATCATCCCTGCTCTCCTCTCTACCATCATCCCTGCCATCCTCTCTACCATCATCCCTGCCATCCTCTCTACCATCATCCCTGCTCTCCTCTCTACCATCCTCCCTGCCATCCTCTCTACCATCATCCCTGCTCTCCTCTCTACCATCCTCCCTGCCATCCTCTCTACCATCATCCCTGCTCTCCTCTCTACCATCATCCCTGCCATCCTCTCTACCATCATCCCTGCCATCATCTCTACCATCATCCCTGCCATCCTCTCTACCATCATCCCTGCCATCCTCTCTACCATCATCCCTGCCATCCTCTCTACCATCATCCCTGCCATCCTCTCTACCATCATCCCTGCCATCCTCTCTACCATCATCCCTGCCATCCTCTCTACCATCCTCCCTGACCTCCTCTCTACCATCATCCCTGCTCTCCTCTCTACCATCATCCCTGCTCTCCTCTCTACCATCATCCCTGCCATCATCTCTACCATCATCCCTGCCATCCTCTCTACCATCATCCCTGCCATCCTCTCTACCATCATCCCTGCCATCCTCTCTACCATCATCCCTGCCATCCTCTCTACCATCATCCCTGCCCTCCTCTCTACCATCATCCCTGCCCTCCTCTCTACCATCCTCTCTACCATCATCCCTGCCCTCCTCTCTACCATCCTCCCCGCCCTCCTCCCTGTCCTCCGCCCTGCCCTCATCCCTGCCGTCCCCGTCTCTCATCTCCGCCGATTTTCCCTGCCCACCTCTCTGCATCGTCCCTGCATGTCCCCTCCGTTCCCCCTGCTGGGAATTTTGTATTCGGTTTCACTGTATTGCAATTCTGGTTAGCCATTGTTATACATTGACTATCTGATTCTTACCCTACCCTACAGGGGGGAGAAGCTGACAGATCCTTACGGAATCGATCGTTGGGTCTACCCTGTCACCTATGCATATGTTGGGGACTACCCGGAGCAGTGCAAGGTGGCAGGTACCAAATCGGGGATCAAAACTGCTTTTCCCTGCCCAAAATGCAAAGTGCCAAATGGAAAGCTCGGTGACATGACTCACCTTATGCAATATCGAACGGAGATTGAGCAGCAGAAGCTCGTCCGTGAAATGCAGCTAGCCCCAACCAAAAAAGCAGTAGAAGAATTGGAGGTCAAGCACAGTACTCATTTTGTCAAGGTGGGTCTAACCTATCGTTTTCAACTTGCAATGACCGTTATGGGGTGTACCTTGGCTAGTTCGTCCCTAACATGTCTTCATCTTGACGATTGCAGAGCGCACTGTGGGGATTTCGATTTGGTGAGACAAGCTTCGGCAACCCATATAGGCAACTGATGGTGGACATCATGCACATGTCCTCTTTGGGGGTCTACAAGCACATCATAGAAAGCTTGAAGCAGCAGCTATCAAACGAAGATCTCAGAAAACTTGATATGGCGCTATCTACTGTCACCCAATACAGTCGCCAATCTTTCTTCCGCCTTCCCGCGCATACTGACGGATACTTCAGTGGCAATGCCACGTTCTATGCCTTCCAGCACCAAGCCGTTATGCAGGTGCTGCCCATCTTGATGTCAACCGTCAAGGACATGAACCCGGAGTGGGTGAGGACCGTGGAGTTGTATTGCTTGTGGCATACTCTCGCTTGGCATCGCGCCTACCACACTGAGACGTCCCTGAAGAATCTGCAAGACATGGCTCGTGTGTAAGTACTCCAGAACCGTGTACTTGCCCAGATTCGCTGTTTGATTCCATCGGTTGTTCATCGTGTTGTAGTTTTGTCATTAACCAGCAGGCAAGATTCGTGTAGGGTGGATAGGGAGCATCACTGTCACCCTGCACCTCCCTCCCTTACCCTCGCATTTCCCCTTTTACCTTCGCTGTCCAGTTTTCCTGCAGGTGGACCAGAGAGCATCACTGTCACCCTGCACTGCTCTTGATCTCACTGATTTCACTCTCACTACTTTTGATTCCACTGATTTCTATCTCACTGTTTTGAATCTCACGGATTTCACTCTCAGAGCTTTTGATCTCACATATTTCACTCTCACTGTTTTTGAGCTCACTTATTGCACTCATAGTTTTTTATCACACAGATTGCACTCTCCCTGCCCTTGATCACACAGATCCCCCCCTGCACTGCTCTTGATCTCACTGATTCAACTCTCCCTGCTCTTGATCTCACTGATTCAACTCTCCCTGCTCTTGATCTCACTGATTCAACTCTCCCTGCTCTTGATCTCACTGATTCAACTCTCCCTGCTCTTGATCTCACTGATTCCACTCTCATGCACTGATGTCACCACCACTGGTTTTGATCTTACTGATTTCACTCTCAGTGCTTTATAACTCACCGATTTCACCATCACTGCTTTTGATCTCACTAATCTCACTCTCAATGCATTTGATCCCACTGATTTCGAATTCACTGAATCCACTCTCAGTTATCTCGATCTCTCTGATTTCAATCTCACTGATTTTCATCTCTCTGATTCAAATCTCTCTGATCTCAATCTCACAGATTTCAATCTGTCTGATTGCAAACTCTCTGATTTCAATCTCACTGTCACCCTGCACCTCCTTTCCCATCACGTTCCCCCTTCCAACTCCTGCAGCTGAACTTCGTGATTGGTGTGCGCGAGGGGTTATGTTTATTTCCCTAACCAGATTTACCTTCAAAGTCAGCTTCCATGTCCTTGCCGACCAGACCAGAAGCATGTGGGAAGTAGAGACGAAGGAGTTAGGAGGCACAGAGGAGGCAGGGGAGAATCTGGGATTACGGAGGGAGGACATAAACCCTCTGAACCTTTATTGATCTTCCTGCACCCCTCTCCCCCCGCCAACTCCCTGCTTGTACCTTGCAGCCAGATCTAATCAGAGGAGGCAAATGAGCATGTATTGGTGTCAGGCTGGAAATTGTGGGCAGTCAGCAGGTCTTGTTGCTTGACGTCAATCAGAGGTTTCTGTTTTTTAATCCATCCGCCCATGTCTTACATTTTGTCACAACCATATGACTCCCGATCCAGGTTGGTCCCCCGCCTGGTGAAACACTTTGGCTCTCATCAGAAATCCGACTTCAACGTCCCAAAGGTGCATGCAATGCTCCATGTGGCCGATGACATTCGTCGTGCAGGTGTGCCGGTCCACTACTGTACTGATCTCTATGAGCATGTGCACATCTCCCTCATGAAGCGACCATACCGTGCTTCTAATCATCATAATGCCGAAGCCTCAATCACCCGTCGCTGCTTGACAAGCGAGCTTGTCGATTTCATGACGGCACAGGATGATAAAGTAGAAGACAAGGAGACACGTAGTGTTGCAATGAAACAAGCTCTAGAGACAGGGTCCCCGGCTGTGACAGGCAAGGTTGGGAGAATAGATCCATCTGACCGACGTACAAGGTTGTGGAAGGAGTATGCTGACACAGTTCCGGGCGATTTTCAGCTGCTGAAGGAAGGCATCCTTGCATTTCAAAGGCAGCAGGAACACCCAGTAGGGTGTAAAGTGACATGGTCACCCGTCATTGACATTCACCAAGGAATTGCAATTCCTCCGGATGAGGATTTCACTAGATACAGCAAGTACCCTGCATATGCTCGGGCAGCTCCTGCCTTCCATGGACATCCTTGGTTTTCGGATGTCCTGGTTGATGGAGTTGAGAGCACAGAGGAGTCCGTCGTGTGGCCAGCTAAGGTGTTTCTGATTTTCACGTTGCACAAGACTCTGTCCAGGACAAGTATTGATGCTCGGACAGGTGACGAGTACACGCGAGAGGAAAAAAATGACGGAACAAGTGGCGTTCGTGCGCTACTATAAGGCCCTTCCGAGCTCTAACACTGTCGACCTAACGACACTGAAGTGGTGGCCTGGTAACCAGGGTTATGGCGTGGTACATGTGGGCAGCATATTCAGAGTTCTTCATGTGTTCCCTCATGAGGCAGATCTTAAAGGCCCTGGTGCTAGGTTTTTGTGGAATGAGCTGAGGTGGTAGGTACTTAGACCTCATTAAGATTCCTCACGCTTGGTTTAGGGTTTGTAACTATCTCACCATTACTTGTGGCGCACACCTTAGCACATAACCTGTCATGTGATCTCTAAAACCTAAGAAGGTGGTTTTCAAATATTGTACTATTGGTGTGTTTAGAGACTCACAGAAATGTAGAATGACCACATTTCTGATCGACTGTAAACCTTTCCACCTTCGCGACCCGCCAACATTGCTGAGTTGTGTGAACGAAGGTGTACAGCGCGACTTATTTTGCATCGTAACAGTAAGCCGCGTAGGAGGTTCCTCCCACACACGTGGGAGGTTCCTCCCTCTGCTCGATCTTATCACTTCGGCACAGCGCTTCCAATACTGTCACCATTTCGACCCCCTCCACCCTCACTGCGTTTCTGCAGCATGAAGCAACAGCGCACCAGCACTAGGGTTTGGTCAGCTCCTGGGTGGTTGAGTCAGGAGGTCGAATTTTGAATCTTCAAAATTTGAACTCGCCATTTCTAGGTTAGCGACGGCCAAACTGAGCCAGGCTTCACAGCAATGACAGCCTTCGATTTAAGCTCTTCTGTACACCATCCCTGGCTTGATCCCGGACCTGAAAGTCCACTGATATTAGGAGCCGCCTCCGCCCTCAGCACTATACTCTGCTTGTACGAGGCGCATCTGCCAGCACAGCTAGAACTTTGCTTGTATAAGGCGCCTCAGCCTGCTCAAATCGACCGTGCTTGTAGGAGCCGCCTCTGCCAGCAGAGCTTAATCCTTCCACACGCATGCATTTGCAACTGCGCTTCGACTAGCGCATCAAATGCCTCTTCCAGTGAATGCTGGATGCATTATTGTGAGTGACAAGAGAGGATACATGCGCGACTCGCTTAGGACTAGGTCACCTCAGTGAGTACATAAACCGTCCTTTTTCGTCAGTACCGTAAACCAGTGCTACTACCCTACCGTCATCTTTAGATCCTATCCAGAAAATGGCTCCAAACTCATCACCCACGATACCACCGTCTCTTGTGCGTCAGATGGGTGTGCGCCAGGTTCTTGAGCGCACAAGCAAGACTAATCACACCCTGATTCCATGTCAGGGCCAGCTTGCAGGTGAGCTCAATACGTTTTTCGCCAATGCATTTGGTGGCATATAGAGTCCCATTAGTAATCTGTGTTTCTCCCGTATCAGGAATGCAATCATCACCACCAAGAGCACCGCCGCTGCCATCGTGGACGGCTACCCGCGGCCGCGGAGCTAAACGATCTGCAACTCAGCAAATACTAGGCTCAAACCATGGGATGGCACCTGCTATGTATACAACCCAGGGTAACAGTGCGTCCACCTCCCCAACAGCTGCCTTTGCGTCCCCAACAGCTGCACAGGGATCCCCTATTGCAAACGAGCGTGGCCCTGATGTTGAAGGGACTTGCATGGGGGAGCCGAACCCTGGAGCAACAACTCATGAGGCAAGCCAGCAGGAGGAACATCTTGAAGGGGAGGGAGAAGATTTACCGGCTGCGCCTGCGGGTGGTAACCAACAAGGTACGGATCTGTAGGTTTGGCTAAGTTTGTCATCTCGGTGACATGAAGACTGTCACCGTTAGAGAGGTTAAAGCCTTGCTGGAAGTTTACATGTTGCTGGTTTGGGTGGCATGTATGCAGGCGCCAGGGGCACTTCATTTGCTGCTCGTATCATGGAACAGGTGGAAGGTGGGAATTATGATGCTGAAGCTGATGATTTCGCTGAAGAAGGTCGGACCGCAAAGACCTTGAATGATGACGTCCGTTTGCAGATGGAGAAGGAGAGGGAGAACGCAAAAGCAGCTCGAGAGGCGTGTGCCAGTAAGGAAGCTGATTTGAAGGAGGCCCTGGCCATGGCAACTACCCTCTCAGTGCATGTCGTGGACGAGCAGGTTCGCCACGTCAACGTTGAGGTAAGATGTTGAAGATGCGTTGTGTATTTCAGATTCAGCTGGATAATACACGAAGTGTTTTACCCCAATGCCATGTTGCAGAGGCTCATCAAAGACTCGGTCAATGATATGCTCTTTGATGAAGAGCACATGAACCTCAATCCGACGCGCGCATATGTGACAGAGCGCCTTCTAGGTGATTCTTTGTTTTTCTTCAGTTTTGGTTGTGTGAGTTAAAATCGATCTTGCCTAACTCCCACGTTTGGTTGCGTGCACAGCAAACTCTGGCATCCCTTTTGGCACAACAGCATCCGGAAAGCTGAAAGCCACGCTCAAAGATCTGAAAATTCCACAGACGGCCGAGCGCCGTTTCAACAACAGGATCGGGAAGATCTATTCGGCGTGTCGGTACTCCCTGCGAAGGACACCTTTACGCCTGCTGGTCCCCAAAAGGGGGAATGACGGAAAGGTCTCATTTCAACCGGGAAAGGATTTCGCGGTTCGTTGCGAGGATTACGTTTCCAAAAACTCAGACAGTAAGTGTTGCCTTGGTATTCCCTGTTTCTAAGCAATCACTCATGTTCAGTTTGGGAACACCAAGTTTTACATTTCCTCGTGGCTTGTCATATGCAGAGGAACTTGGGATTTACTGGCATGTTGCTGAGGGCGAAGCGTTCTCAAGCCCGGCATTTCTGGAGTGTGCTCGATTGTTTGTCCCACAGAGCTACGACCCGCTGCTGCCCATCGGCCTCTATCCAGTCCAGCTTATGCTCATCCTTGCAGTGGTAAGAATTGCATGGGTGTATTCCAACTGGTTCTGTGTTTATTATGTTTTCAAGTCATCAGTCTCTCCCCTCCTTGCCTTCCCTGCCATCCTCGCTATTCATCATCTGTCCCTCTTCTGGGAAGTACGCTCATCCCTCCCTCCCCTAGCCTAGGCATCATACCTGCATGATCATATCTTCCTCTCCCTGGCTTTACTTCCCTGCAGGTTCATGCTCTCCTTCCCCTTGCCTTGTGTGCGCTGCTCGTTATTCATCCTCTATCCCTCTCCTTGCCTTGAATTGTCTGCAGGTTCATTCTCTCCCGTGCCTTGGCTTGTATACGCTGCTATGTTTTCATCTTCCCTCCTCCCCTTGCCAGCAGGTTCATTCTCATTCTCTCCTTGCCTTTGATTGCATGCAGGCTTATTCTCATCCTCTTCTTGCGTTGAATTGCCTGCAGGTGTATTCTCCTCCTTTCCTTGCCTTAAATTGCCTGCAGGTTTATTTTCTTCCTTTCCGAGTACCCTGCAGGTTTCCTGTTCCTCTCCTTGTGTTAAAATGTGTGCAGGTTCATTCTCTCCCTTTCTGTCGCTTGTGTACTCTGCTACGTTTTCATCTTCTCTCCCTCTCCTTGCCTGCAGGTTTATTCTCTTCCTCTCCTAGCCTTGAGTTGCATGTAGGTTTATTCTCATTCCCTCCTTGCCTTGAATTGACTGCAGGTTTGTTTTCTTTCTCTCCTTGCTTAAGATTGCCCACATACTCATCTCTTCTTCTCCTTGCCTTGATTTGCCTGCAGGGTTATTCTCTCCCTCTCCTTGACTTGTGTGCACTGCTGATTATTCATCCTCTCTCCCTCTCCTTGCCTTGAATTGCTTGCAGGTTTTTTCTTTTCCTTTCCTGGCCTTGTGTGCGTTGCTGCTTTTCATCTTCTCACCCTCTCCTTGCCTTAAATTGTCTGCAGGTTTATTCCAACCTCTCCTTGCCTTGTGTGTGCTGCAGTTTATTCATCTCTTCCCCTCTTTTCCTTGCTGTTGCCTGCAGGTTCATTCTTTCCCTCTCCTTGCATTGTGTGCACTGCTGGTTTTTCATCCGCTCTCCCTCTCCTTGCCTTGAATTGCCTGCAGGTTTATTCTAACGCTCTCCTTGCCTTGTGTGTGCTGCTGGTAATTCATCTGCTTTCCCTTTTTTACCCTTTGGATTCTTGCAGGTCCATTCGTTCCCTCTCCTTGCCTTGTATGCACTGCTGCTTATTCATCGTCACTCTTTCTCCTTGCCGGCAATTGCCTGCAGGTTCATTCAATTCCTCTCCTTGCACTGTGTGCACTGCTGGTTTTTCATCCGCTCTCCCTCTCCTTGTTTTGAATCGCCTGCAGGTTTGTTCTAAGGCACTCCTTGCCTTGTGTGTGCGTCTGGTATTTCATAGGCTTTCTCTTTCTTCCCTTCTAATTCTTGCAGGTCCATTCTTTCCCTCTCCTTGCCTTGTGTGCGATGCTGGTTATTCATCTTCACTCCTCCTTGCCATGAATTGCCTGCAGGTTCATTCTTTCCCTCTCCTTGCATTGTGTGCACTGCTGGTTTTTCATCCGCTCTCCCTCTCCTTGCCTTGAATTGCCTGCAGGTTCATTCTTTCCCTCTCCTTGCATTGTGTGCACTGCTGGTTTTTCATCCGCTCTCCCTCTCCTTGCCTTGAATTGCCTGCAGGTTTATTCTAACGCTCTCCTTGCCTTGTGTGAGCTGCTGGCAATTCATCTGCTTTCCCTTTTTTTCCCTATGGATTCTTGCAGGTTCATTTTGTCCCTCTCATTGCCTTGTGTGAGCTGCTGGTTATTCATCCTCACTCCTTTCCTTGAATTGCTTGCAGATTGAGTCTCTCCCTCTCCTAGCATTGTGTGCGCTTCTGTGTATTCATCTCCTTTCTCTTTCTTTCCCTTTTAGTGTTTGCAGGTTCATTCTTCCCCCCTCTTGCCTTGTGTGCAAAGCTGGTTATTCATCCTCACTCCTTCTCCTTCCTTGAATCGCCTGCAGGTTCATTCTTTCCCTCTCCTTGCATTGTGTGCACTGCTGGTTTTTCATCCGCTCTCCCTCTCCTTGCCTTGAATTGCCTGCAGGTTTATTCTAACGCTCTCCTTGCCTTGTGTGTGCTGCTGGTAATTCATCTGCTTTCCCTTTTTTACCCTTTGGATTCTTGCAGGTCCATTCGTTCCCTCTCCTTGCCTTGTATGCACTGCTGCTTATTCATCGTCACTCTTTCTCCTTGCCGGCAATTGCCTGCAGGTTCATTCAATTCCTCTCCTTGCACTGTGTGCACTGCTGGTTTTTCATCCGCTCTCCCTCTCCTTGTTTTGAATCGCCTGCAGGTTTGTTCTAAGGCACTCCTTGCCTTGTGTGTGCGTCTGGTATTTCATAGGCTTTCTCTTTCTTCCCTTCTAATTCTTGCAGGTCCATTCTTTCCCTCTCCTTGCCTTGTGTGCGATGCTGGTTATTCATCTTCACTCCTCCTTGCCATGAATTGCCTGCAGGTTCATTCTTTCCCTCTCCTTGCATTGTGTGCACTGCTGGTTTTTCATCCGCTCTCCCTCTCCTTGCCTTGAATTGCCTGCAGGTTCATTCTTTCCCTCTCCTTGCATTGTGTGCACTGCTGGTTTTTCATCCGCTCTCCCTCTCCTTGCCTTGAATTGCCTGCAGGTTTATTCTAACGCTCTCCTTGCCTTGTGTGAGCTGCTGGCAATTCATCTGCTTTCCCTTTTTTTCCCTATGGATTCTTGCAGGTTCATTTTGTCCCTCTCATTGCCTTGTGTGAGCTGCTGGTTATTCATCCTCACTCCTCCTTTCCTTGAATTGCTTGCAGATTGAGTCTCTCCCTCTCCTAGCATTGTGTGCGCTTCTGTGTATTCATCTCCTTTCTCTTTCTTTCCCTTTTAGTGTTTGCAGGTTCATTTTTCCCCCCTCTTGCCTTGTGTGCAAAGCTGGTTATTCATCCTCACTCCTTCTCCTTCCTTGAATCGCCTGCAGGTTCATTCTTTCCCTCTCCTTGCATTGTGTGCACTGCTGGTTTTTCATCCGCTCTCCCTCTCCTTGCCTTGAATTGCCTGCAGGTTTATTCTAACGCTCTCATTGCCTTGTGTGTGCTGCTGGTAATTCATCTGCTTTCCCTTTTTTACCCTTTGGATTCTTGCAGGTCCATTCGTTCCCTCTCCTTGCCTTGTATGCACTGCTGCTTATTCATCGTCACTCTTTCTCCTTGCCGGCAATTGCCTGCAGGTTCATTCAATTCCTCTCCTTGCACTGTGTGCACTGCTGGTTTTTCATCCGCTCTCCCTCTCCTTGTTTTGAATCGCCTGCAGGTTTGTTCTAAGGCACTCCTTGCCTTGTGTGTGCGTCTGGTATTTCATAGGCTTTCTCTTTCTTCCCTTCTAATTCTTGCAGGTCCATTCTTTCCCTCTCCTTGCCTTGTGTGCGATGCTGGTTATTCATCTTCACTCCTCCTTGCCATGAATTGCCTGCAGGTTCATTCTTTCCCTCTCCTTGCATTGTGTGCACTGCTGGTTTTTCATCCGCTCTCCCTCTCCTTGCCTTGAATTGCCTGCAGGTTCATTCTTTCCCTCTCCTTGCATTGTGTGCACTGCTGGTTTTTCATCCGCTCTCCCTCTCCTTGCCTTGAATTGCCTGCAGGTTTATTCTAACGCTCTCCTTGCCTTGTGTGTGCTGCTGGTAATTCATCTGCTTTCCCTTTTTTACCCTTTGGATTCTTGCAGGTCCATTCGTTCCCTCTCCTTGCCTTGTATGCACTGCTGCTTATTCATCGTCACTCTTTCTCCTTGCCGGCAATTGCCTGCAGGTTCATTCAATTCCTCTCCTTGCACTGTGTGCACTGCTGGTTTTTCATCCGCTCTCCCTCTCCTTGTTTTGAATCGCCTGCAGGTTTGTTCTAAGGCACTCCTTGCCTTGTGTGTGCGTCTGGTATTTCATAGGCTTTCTCTTTCTTCCCTTCTAATTCTTGCAGGTCCATTCTTTCCCTCTCCTTGCCTTGTGTGCGATGCTGGTTATTCATCTTCACTCCTCCTTGCCATGAATTGCCTGCAGGTTCATTCTTTCCCTCTCCTTGCATTGTGTGCACTGCTGGTTTTTCATCCGCTCTCCGTCTCCTTGCCTTGAATTGCCTGCAGGTTCATTCTTTCCCTCTCCTTGCATTGTGTGCACTGCTGGTTTTTCATCCGCTCTCCCTCTCCTTGCCTTGAATTGCCTGCAGGTTTATTCTAACGCTCTCCTTGCCTTGTGTGAGCTGCTGGCAATTCATCTGCTTTCCCTTTTTTTCCCTATGGATTCTTGCAGGTTCATTCTGTCCCTCTCATTGCCTTGTGTGAGCTGCTGGTTATTCATCCTCACTCCTCCTTTCCTTGAATTGCTTGCAGATTGAGTCTCTCCCTCTCCTAGCATTGTGTGCGCTTCTGTGTATTCATCTCCTTTCTCTTTCTTTCCCTTTTAGTGTTTGCAGGTTCATTCTTCCCCCCTCTTGCCTTGTGTGCAAAGCTGGTTATTCATCCTCACTCCTTCTCCTTCCTTGAATCGCCTGCAGGTTCATTCTTTCCCTCTCCTTGCATTGTGTGCACTGCTGGTTTTTCATCCGCTCTCCCTCTCCTTGCCTTGAATTGCCTGCAGGTTTATTCTAACGCTCTCCTTGCCTTGTGTGTGCTTTGGGTATTTCATAGGCTGTCTCTTCCCTTTTCATTCTTGCAGGTACATTCTTTCCCTCTCCTTGCCTTGTGTGCATTGATGGTTATTCATCCTCACATTCTCCTTGCGTTGAATTGCCTGCAGGTCTATTCTCTCCCTCCCGTTGCCTTGTGCGCGCTGCTGTTTATTCATCCCCCTCCCTCTCCTTGCCTTGAATTGCCTGCACCTTTATTCTCTTCCTGTCCTTGCTTTGGATTGCCCGCGTGCTCTTCTCTTCCTCTCCTTTTCTTGAATTGCCTGCAGGTTGAATTTCACCCTCTCCTTTCCTCGTGTGCGCTGCTGGTACT